ACAAAATGCAATGAAGAAATAATCAACATGTATTTTGAAGGGTAACAAATTTTCTAATTTGTCTATTAAATCTCTCTTAAGAGCTAGAGATATATGCACTTGGTCTAAAGATAAGCACATATATGCATGAATATGTACGATGATGAGTTTTACTTTATCCATCAAACCCAAAAACGAAGACTAAGAACTAATACTCCTTTAAATAATTGCATAGAAGATAAGATATGACATAACAATTTTAACATAATGAGAGAGAAAGAGAGAGGTGTGGTACCAATAATAATCTTAATTTTGACGGGGTTCCAAAAATCAAAAGCCAGCAAGATGACACATAGGCAGATCAACATTGATGATTTTAATCATGAAGCAATTAATCACTCAATGGAATATTTGAAAGATTTGAGAGAAATCATATCTCATGACTCATGTGGCTGTCTTTGATTCCACCACTTATATCAACAACTAGTTTTAATCAGCTAAGGTGTAGTCTGTGTGGTTGTCTCCAAACCTACCCTCTCTTCTAATCCAGTTCATTATTCCACACTAATCAAATTTCAAATTTTAGATTCTGTAATTTGTTTCTTAAACTCTCTTCTTTGTTATCATCACATCAGAGTCTTTAAAGAAATGAATTTTTTTACCCGTAAGTTATTATGTTTGTAAACATGACGACGCGATACTAATTCCATTCTTAACCTACTTGTCGTGACGGATTTCGATAGACAAATTATCAGAGAACACGAAAAAGATGTATAAATATACGAAACATATGCGTATAAGATATAATATTTATACTAAATGAGGAAAGGAATACCGAATACGTAAATGAGGGAAAAAACCAAAGTTTTCAATTTAACTTTGGCAAATCCAAAACGGTGACGAACAAATTCAAGTCTCAATGCCCCCACTCACATGCCACATTTGGTAAGTTGCATTTCTGTTTTCTTTTTCTTCTTTAGCCTTCTTGTTTGGAGTCGTACGAGAGGCTAAATCTTAGTTCGACACATGTCGCTACTGCTTTTCTATATCACTGAACACAATTTTAGATTTCGTGAAACAGATGTCTCTTCTCTTATGAAAAGCCAAATTGGTCACTGTTAATTACAGAGACAACACAACATGATAATAACCAAGTCTTCTTATTATTTTGTCTTCAAGTTCTGAGTAGGAAATTTCAAAAAAGAAAAAATGAAAACCATTTTGAAGAACAAACAGTAAAGAGAACACGTTGAGTTTGATAAGGAGATCACTTGATGGGGGGTCTCTATGGCTCTCCTCCAAGCTCCACTCTCAGGTTGTCATATGGATACACTCTCGGTGTCTGCAGCAACACAGAAAGGAGATGATCATGAAATGGTAAAAAAACAAGTACCACAAAGAAAATACAAAAGCAGAGCCACAGAAAAACTTCTATAGTAAAAGAACAGAATCAATTAATCTCACGTGTAGACAAGCAAGACAGAGAGCAACTAACTTATTAGCCCTGGTCTGTTCAAGTTCTATAGCTCGAAATCCTTTAAACAAGACTCATTAGTAAAGCCTTTCATACAAAGTCTATGATGCTTGACCAGTGGAAACTAAAAGAACTAACTCATAGATTTTAGCTACTGACACACCTCTAGAGGCTTCATGCTTTCTCTTACACGTATATGAGCTTAGCATTTACCAAGTTCCCAAGAACATTGTAGGCGTTTCTTTCAAGTGTTCCCATTAAGCACGTACAGGCTCAATCAATTAAGACAGGCTGATGAAAACAGTCTAGATATAAGATCCATCTCTTTCAGGTACATTGGTTAGAAGCAGGAGCAAACAGCAAGAATTGTTATCTTCATAAACAGGCAAAATGCAGAAGCTGAAAGTTCAATATTGCAGCACTAAGCAAATGAAGAAAAGAACATTCTGTTATGCGAGACGGGTATTCGAAGATTCCGACAAAAACCTTTTCTCAGAAGTAAGCCTAAGCCAAGTACATGTTTCACAATAGCTAGAGTAAAAATGATAATGTGGTTGAAGAATTGAATTCAGAGTAGATTAACACAATAGCAGAGGGTAGCAAAAAATCATGACTCAGGACACTAAAATGGGTTGCCGTAAGATAGCATTTGAGCAAGAAATTACATAAGAAGTTGAAAGATTTTTTCACTTACCCATGGAACCTTTGAAGCTTTGTCGTTCAAAACAGCGAACAAACCCAGAGTCGCAAAGAACCCTAAACCGCCACACAACCATCCCAATGCTTCATACTGTTCCAATCATCCAAAAATCAATCAGAAAAACAATCCATTTACGCCGGAAAAACAATAGAAACCCTAACGAACCTTTCCGACGGTATCAGCAATCCGATCTATGCAAGGTTCTGGAAACGCAGTCCCATTGTCCCACATCAACTCATCATTAACCGAAAGCTGAGACACAATAAAGACAAATCGAAGCTCTAAATGTTTCAAAATCGAAACCAATTTCAGAAGAATCTAAAGAATAGATTACAGAGAATTCCTTTACCGGCTTATCGGGGACGATGTGTTTTCCGACGGGTAGACCCATCCCGGCTCGTTGACGGAGAGAAGACCCGACGGATCGGGCAACAACGCCGTTTCCACCCATGATCCGTGAAGCCACACCGCTCAATCTTCCTGCCATTTTTTCTCCTTTCTCGATAGCTTTTTCCTTTTGTTTGCTTCAGGTTTTTCTCTCCGATCCCAAAATCAATCGATTTAGATAGATAGAAGACACTACTGATCAAAGTCCCTAAACGTCGTCGTTTTGAGGTCAAGACCTTTACTTCGCTCAGAGGTTTCAGTATATGTAAACCTTTTGTTGTATTTGTTGCAAAATGTTTATCGTATTCACTTGTAAATGTTTTACATACAAAGAGAGTAATAATTGCATCCATTTGCTTTTTTCTCTAGTAGTTACCTAATCAAATCCAAAAGTGAGAATTGGCAGCTCCATCTTTCTTCATACTTACAGAGTTCAGAGTCAAAACAAAAGATCTAAACGTTTATGAATCTTTATGAGTTTTGCAAAGTTTCAGATTCATCTTATGGTAACTCTGAGACTGAAAGTAAAGTAAAAAAAATGAAACTTTCTTTTGTATTCATTTCTTGTTGACACTAGCGGTTACAAGCGACAGTTC